TGGTAGTTCATTTCGAGTTATTGAAATAAATAGAAAAGACCCTTCCTATTTATTTTGTAAAGAGCTCCTTGACTTGGAATAATTGTTCAGTTGATTCTGAGTATTTGAAAATAGTGCTATAGAGAAGACTAATCTCTATAGAAATGTTTGTCATGATGTTAGTTTATATTAAACTTCACTTCATTATTTACCTTTGCAAAAATTTCCTTATAAGAAAATTTTGTTTTTGAAAAAGTGATGAACAGAAAAGAGTTTTTTTTGTATACTATTAATAATAAATAGTTTTTTAAACTATTTATATAACAAATTCAAACTCTTTACTAGACTTTTAATTTCTGAATCATTTCCCAAGTAAATATCTCCAATACTGAGCAAGGCTTCCTAATTGTTCCTAGAGAATAGTTTACAAAGTAGTGAATTTTACAGTTACTATCAATTTATCAATCAATTCAATAATCTTCAAATCAGATAGATAGATAGAATAACTATAGTAGTAATTTACTTTAAGTTGAGGGAAAAAACCTTGGTCATAATTTACTAAAGTTGATAATTTAAGGATAATATAGATTATATAAATACGTTGAAAGAGTCTTTAGATAATTTGGTTTAATTATAAAATTTATTAGAGATATAGAATATTCAGAGTAAGAGAATTTAGTAAATAAACCTTTGAGTTAACTGCTTTGAACAACTAATCTTTATTTACATAATTGAATATTAATTACTTGATAACCAAAGTGATCAAATCTGCCAGATTTTTCAAATCAGATCAATATACCAGATCTTCCCACTTGAGTAACCTACTAGCTAAATATAAATAAGATATGATAATAGAATAAAGAAATTAAATAATGTGTACTATGTAAATCACTACTTTGCTCTAATTCCTGGATCTATCCTATGAATTAATGAGATACACCTTGTGTCATATGTGTTATATAATCTAAAAATAGAACTAGATTAATATAATAGACAAGAATTATAAATAATAATTAAAGGGAAATATAATTATTAATTAAGATTAACAATATAAAAATTAATTTTTCATTATACTGAAGTACTCAAGTTTATGAAACAATATTTAATTTTTTTGAAAATTAATATATACTTCTATCTTCTAGATTTATTATTAACAAGTTTTCACTATAGATTGCTCAAAAACTATAAATTGTTAAGTTAATAAAGAGAAAATAAAAAAAAAAAGAAAAAAGAAAAAGGGCTATAATTTAAATTTCTCCAAAAAAGTTTATCAACTAAATAATTTCTTTTTAAAAGGAATTTGTCTAATTAAAATATTTTTTGTTTCTACTTAAACCTCAAAAAAGATCTTCTTTGGCACTATTTATAATACTGGATGAGTTAATTTATTAAATTCATTATTTAAACAAGTATCAGATTAAAATAGATTACTATATGAATAACACCACTTGGATTACAGACAACATAGAAGACATGAGGAAAATCATCAAAAAAGCAGAGGAATTTTACCATATCAATGACATAAAAACCAACCTACAGAAATCGCAACTAATTATCATTAATGGGAAAGATGACAACTTCAAGCAAGGGATAGTGATAGATAACCAAGCTATCCAGGGTTGCCCCAAAGGAATGCCAGTCAGAATCCTTTTGATTTTTCATTGCTCGCATTCATCTATCCGAATGTTTTGTGTTAATCTCTTTCGTCCCTCAGTTCTGTATTAATAACAATAGCAGGATGAGATGCAAATAGGATATATAATGTCGGTTATTGTTATTAAAATATGAAAAAAATAAACATAAGACATACAAAACCCGTTGATTCGGTTCGGCTTAAGCCAAAGCTGATTCGGTCCGGTTCGAATCATGTTTTTTTTTTAAAAAAAAAAAAATCCATGCGATCCCTATCTGTACAACCATTTTTTTTTAAATTCCAAAATTTTGCTTACACGCGTGGCTTACAACTTCCAGTTATTATACTGAAAAGAATTTTAAAATATAAATCAACTTTCAACTTTCGACTTATTACTCAAAAAAAATAATTTTTTTTTATCCCAAAAGTATAAATCAGACTCCGTCTTTTGCTACGTTGAATAATTGCTTATTTTCGGCTTCCTTGCCTAATTTTCGAAATTCCTCTTTCATATTCTCTGCGCGGGGAACACTATTTTGCAATCAAAAATAGAAACTTAGATTCTGTTACACTTTTTAAAGTTACATACTTCAACAAAACACTAAGGATTTTTTGCATTAAAGACTTTTTTTTTTTGCGTCTTTCCCAGTAAGGTAATATGGATTGAAATTGGAATGCAGTAATATCCTTATTTATTTCTTCAAATCATATAACTTTCTACTGTACTTTAAAATACATCATTTACCAATAATACAGTATTATATTATTATTTAAAGTGCTGGTTTATTAAAAAATATTATGTTTTTCACTGCATACAGTATGTCATTAATTTTTATAATCTGGTTTTTATACTAAAAAGAAAATTCCGAGTGATTGCATGACCGCAGCATTCTATATGCGTGTGAAACTGTTATGCGTACGTACAATTAAATACTATATTTGGAAAACAATACGTACGCATAATATGTTTATGTTATCTGCAGTAAGAAGGAAAGGTCTTTTTCCTTTAGATTTTCTTGCAAATTCTTTCCCGTTTTGAGACTTGCTTCTATGAGCACTCTAATAGCAGCTCAATTAATCAATCAGAGTATCTTGCAACAAGACTAACAAATGGGTTCTGTGTGGATAAAAACATTTGAAGTCTTATTTGCACTGTATTTGCATGATATTTCCCCGTCTTAGATGCAGCACTCTGAATAACAGTGTCCATTTTCCTTTTTTTTTTTTTTTTTTTTTTTTTTTTTTGGTTTGTTTTAAACATCCTTGGAAACCCCTTGTATTGTAAGCCTATGCAGAAATCTCAAAGATTTACTCTATTCCTCAAAGGTAGCCTTACTAAATAAAAACAATACAACGGAAAAACGGGGATTTTCGCTTGTTACTTATTATTTGCAAAAATAACACATGACAAAACAGTGACAAATTTTTTTATTTTAAAGACACTTTATGTATTGTATCTGTGATGTAATCTCATTCTGTACACATGTACTGTACTATCTAACGCACAAATATCAGAACCAAGAATGTCTTTGTCCTGTGAATTAATGGGAATTCACGTTACGAATAAATTTGGAAGGATGTTCTTCAATGAATGCTTTTCTTAGATATCGTGCTATCGTTTTATTAACGCAAAGGTATGGTCTTAACTTTTTTTGGTACGACTTGAAAGTCCAAATTTAGAAAGGCATTCGTATGACCGGTCAACATTAAAGTTTCATCAGGCCCTTCTCAGAACTGCAAATTTGTATTCCGAACCAGTATTCACGAACTAGAATCCTGTTGTACATGAAATTTTATTAGGAATTCATGTAAACAATACAAACCTTAAAATCGATACGAGTTTAGATAAAGAATTATCCGGGCGATTGTCCTTTATAATTGACAATCTCTTTTATTATTATACACGAAGCTCCACTCGTGGTTTTTTTAGATATTACATTTAAAAAATAAAACAAAAAATTTATTTATAGATACGTACAGTATATTCGGAGAACAGGTTATATTTATAGGAAATTTATTAATGCGTTCGTTCCCAAATAACGAGAAATTTGTGGTTGATAATATCCCCACACGCAAGTTACAGTATCTATATTCAAAGGACAGTTTTATTAATGACCAATTAATTAATACGTTTGTTCTCTAAAATATGAAACAATCTCAAGACACGAAAAGTTATTCATATGCCAAAAATAGTCTAGGATTTACTCACGGACAATTCATTGGTGCTCTCGTTCTCTAACAACGGAGAAGTTAATCTCGCAATAGGAAAAGTCATCTACTATATTTTAGAGAACAGATTTTACTCATAGTCGATTCATTGGTGATTCTTTTGTAGATGCGCAGCTAATAGCAAAAAAGGTGATATGATTGTGTCGGTGAAGAGTATAAGCATACACATATATTTGGCCGGTATGGTTTCACACTTCGGGTTCGATTGAACAAGGAAAAAAAATATTCTTCGCGGATGGTTAAAAATAGATTTTTAATCTTACTATTTGTGATAACCCATTATTGACACACACGAAAAATAGCAATATACAGTATAATTACGAGTAAATACTGTATTTTAAAGAAATTCTCTCCTATTTTTTAAAAAAAAATTTCCCTTTCCTTTAATCGATTCAAATTACAATGGAACCCAATACATTTATTGATTCAATGATCACTAGTCTTGAAAAATAAGCGACGACTTCTTGAGACAGCAATGGAATTTCCAAGTATGTACCTTCTAACTTCTTTTTTTTTTTAAAATATCAAACGATGACTTTTTTCAGACATTGGCAGCAAAAAAAGAAATCCAATTCATTTCTAAATTAAATTTTTATTTGTACGAATTAAAGAATTCAAATTACTGAGTAATCTCGGAAACTGTATTTAACTGTTCAAGCAGACCTTCTTCGTAAAAAAATAAAGAAAAGTGAATAGAAGAGAAATAGAAAAAAAAAAAACCAAAACAAAACTTCTTTTCTTTAGTCATTACTTAATAATTTTTGCAATGAGTAACCAGCTCCCTAACTCGCACACTAATCACCCTGAAAAAACCGCTTCGCTCTTAACTGCAAGTAATTCTGAATCTAATTCTACTGTGAAAGAAGACCAGGGATGCAATTCTAAACCACCCATTCTCGTATCGGAAATCTCGACTATTAGATTGGGCACTTCTCCTAGGCCGTTCATTCTCCTACCCGAGAACCCAACCCTCACACCCGACATACTAGATAATATAATCAACTGGATTATACCTTACAACCAACTCGTTAGATACCTTCCAAAAATTTACATCCATCTTCATCATCTAATTTTCTTTAGCTTCAGTCGTAATCGTAACACCGACTTTCCGTATTATCAAAATAATTTTATTTTATTTCGAAAAAATTATTATGCCGAAATGGCTTCCAAACCATGTTATAGATTCCTAGGTGAAGATTTTCAAGATGATCAGGACAAGGCGAAAAAAGTTTGGAAGCGTTTGTCTAATGAGGATAAACATATGTACAATCAATTATTAACATGCAATAATGTCCTTCACGACATTTTATGGGAAAACTATCGATACAGAAAGTTAAAAAATGAAGAGTGCGAGTACGTGTATACAAAACGCGGAAGACTTGAAGAGTACTCACCGACATTCTTCAAGCCGATTTCACGCAATCGAAACCACCAATCCATGAGAAATAACCTGCCTACGTACCCTACTATATCCACTCATTCCTTATTGTCAAATAACAAAAAAGTAAGTAAAGAAAAAAAAAAATCCAAATCCCCTAAATCTCATTCTTCTAAAGACTCAAATATGACATTGGGCACATCGAATCATTCTTTGCCGTCGAATGACGAATCCTCTGAAGGCTCGAATTACCATGACTTTTCTCCGCGCTCTCCTCGTATGATATTGAACCAGCCAACCGTGTCGTCGAATGATAAAGATAATAAAAAGTCACAACTCCCTCTCTATATGATATTGGACATGTCAGTCTTACCATCTAAATATTCTAAAGATTAAGATCACTATGTCTCGTCCCCGTGTTCTCACGTATCATTGGTTCTATAAATCGCATTCCACCATGTATGAAAAAGAAGTTCTTAAGATCTCTAATTAGCCTGGCTTCCCTTTAGTGAGCTATTGGACATCTGGATTTCGATTATGAGAATGTCGTTACTTTATCTCTGTAATTTTCAATCTTCACATTTTTCTTTGTAGTTTACATATAAATAAATAAATAATAATCTATTCAAAGGCGCTTTTTTAAATTTACTTTTTGAGATTGGAATGCATGAGATTACGAAATATATAATATTACTTTTGTTATCGTTTTTTAGTTTTTTTATTATTTTATTTTATCGAACAGTAAACAATAGGATATAAATAAAGTTGAAAATAACAAAATTATTATTGTTGTTATTTATTAAGTGTCAGAAATTAAGATTTTACATTATTATAAATTTATATTAAAAAATTACATTTTTTTGTATTTTATTTATCGAGATTTACCATCTCTCGATTGAGACAGTTGTCAGCAAAAAAAAAATTGGAAATTTGAAAAACGTTAAAAAACTAAATACAAAATCCGATCGCTTTTACTTTCCCATCTATCAGATTATTATTTACTGTATATTTGAGAAAAATATTATCTGTTTCTTTTTCGCAAATCAATCACAGTATAATGTACGAATATACGGTACCCTCCAAAGTCCCAAAATTTAATTATCTATAGCGCATTAATATTTACAAGCATAACATGGACTATCAATTACTTCGCTAATTCATTTAGGATAGGGTCTCGAAACATATTGTTCGAAGTACTATTAAAATCCTCAATGTAGTCATAATTCACATAATAAATTTTTGTATATTTTATTAACAAACTTATCTCCTGGACGTCATATAGAGAATTGGTGCAAGGAAACATCAAGTTTATAATAAATCTGGGTCCACGTTTATCAACTTTTTATACAGTATTCGCAGATTGATTCTACATATAATAAGGCTTGTTTATTGTTTTTCATGATATAATACTAGGAAATGGAATTTATCATGTGTTCGAAGTTTATTTTATTAATTATTAAAATAGGTTATTTTATTAATGTATAAATTTTTATTTTTCAAATTAAAAGGTCGCTTTTGTAAAAAATCCAACAACCCATTCTTTTAATCGTCTACACCCGCCCACGCATTTACTCACCCCACTCACGCCTTTATTTACCCACTTTTTTACATACTCGCTCATCCATCTACTCGTCCACCTGCTGCCTGTCCATCAAACCCATACACTCTCTCGCCTATGCATTTAATTAACCATCCGCTCATTCACTTACCTTACCCACTCACCCATCCATTCGCTCGCCCTCCTACCGCCTACTTACTAAACCCATACACTCAATTATCATCCACTTAATTATCTACATATCTATTTATCCGCCCGTGCATTTACTCACCTCGCTCACGCATTCACCTCACACGCATATTCACCTTACTCACTCATTTACTTACCCGCTCATTTATCCACTCGTCCACCTGACGCCTACCCACTAAATATACACACTCACTTGTCCGTCCAACTCATTCACTTAATCGTTTACTTGTGCCCGCGCATTTACTCACCTCAAACTCGTTCACTTAATCATCTACTTATTCCCGCGCATCAACTCACCTCACCTGCGCATTCACTCGCCCACTCATTTACTTACCGACTCATACATTTACTCGTCCTCCTGCCACCTACACACCAAACCCCTACACTTATCTACGCATTCATTTACCCGTTCTCACTTCGCCCACCTATTATTCGCTGCCCGCCTACTCATACATTCGCTTACCCTTCCGACTCATTCACTTATTCGTTTTTCTATTCACTTACCGGTCCATGCCTCCCCACGCATTTATTCATCTCATATACTCATTCACTCATTCTTCCACCCGTCCACCTATCTATAAAATCCATACACTCACTCCTCCAATCCATTCTCTCTCTCTCTTGAAAGAGTAGGCAGATTAGTGAATGGATCGATTGATGTGAATAAATAAATTGCGAGGCAAGTAAATGAATGGATGGGTAAGTGAATATATGAATAATTGTATAGATGGATGAGCGAGAAGGCGAGGGGAATAAATGTGTGGGTGATTAAATTATTACGGGGAAGGACAAGGTTATTCTCTATGTACAGTATTTTTTTTTTTTTTTTTTTAAACGCTGACTCAGCCGTACTTTATTTGAAATGTGGTAGATATGTACATGAGATGCTATGGCTACCTATGCTTACCAAATATAGTTCGATAAAGGAACAGTCTTTGACTGCACTTACCTCGCGGCTTGTTGCCACCTCATTTTAGAGGGTGCTAACCTGCCAAGGCTGAGCTAGTGCTGTAAGAAAATTCCAAGATGGTGCAGGGTGTTGCTATGTTTTGGATGGTTTTGTTCATGTATTTGTTTACTAAGTGTATGAATTGTTCCTTGGTGTGGTCTTCTCTTTCTTTGAACCATAGCTCTATTTCATGCTTGAGGTATTTGAATTTTTTCTCCATCTTCCTAGTGATGCCTTGTTGTACTTTCCAAAGTTGGAATTATTCGCATCATTTCTTCTATAGCTTTTGATGATATCTCTTTTTATCTCTATGTAGCAGTCATGTCTGAGTCATCTTTCTGGAATTGCCTCTCTGATGATTTGTATTATTTCCTTGAGGAAAGCTTCTCTGATTGCATACTTTAGATATCTCTTATAATGCAGTAATGTTTTTTTTTTGATCAAGTGTTTTGTAATATTTATGATAATGCTTTTGATTATGTGTTGTTCTGTCATTACCTTGTGTGTATCACAGATGAAAAAATATATATTTATCTCCTTTTCTTTACATTTGTTGCACAAATTGTCTTTGTAAATTGAGGGTGCTCTATGGTATAACTTGGTTTTCATGGGAAGTACTTCATTTTATAGGCTTAAAAGAAATTTCCTTTGTTGTTAATTCTCCCAATTCATTGTATGATTGTTCATCTTGGTAATCTGAAGGTATTTAAAAGTGGTGGACCAGTTAATTTTCTGAATTAGGTGGTCATTGAAGTTGTTTCTAGTTCTGTTAAGAAGCCTTCATTTAGTCAAATAAATTGCTTGTGTTATTTTTATGGTTGTTTCTTTAATTGTTATTTCTAAATCTTGTTTATTCCATTGTGCTGAAAAATGTATCTCTTTTAGGATTTTAGTTTTGAAAGCAATATTTCTTATATTGAATTTTATTCCTTATTATTGATCAATTTCTATCAATTGGTCAGTGAGTTTATTTTATGTATCTTCTGTATATACTTGGACTTTGAACAATTTCACCTTAATGTTTCTTTGCTTGCAGATTTCTTTAATTAATTATAAGATATTTAGGTTTTTTTTTTTGTTTTTTTGAATATTGTATAGTAGTGAGCTTATTGATTTTTTGGATGCTATTGATAGCTGCATTCTATCTATATATATCTGCACTTTACTATAGTAAAGAAGTGTGCTAACTGCTAAGTATAATCATAAGTTTAGCTCTTATTAAGGAGGAAAAGTTTTTGACCTGTCCTTAGAAGTTGAAATGCTTGTTATTATTAATTATTAATGTCCATCCTACTTTCATATAATACTGTCTATTGTACCAACTCATAGAGTCATATGTATAGATTTTAAAATACATATGGTTCTGAAATTCTTTACTGATATGAAAGAGTTCCTTCATAATTGATTTATCTGTATTGTAGAGATTGTATATATAGTTTTGAAAAAAGTCTTTAATGAAACTTATGATTTTAGTGTTCTAATTCCTTTTTATATGTGAAAGATATATTAATATTGTTAGGTCCAGTATGTTGATTGAATATTATTGTGATAATATTCTATTGTGATGGACTAAAATTTCTACATTGTTTGCCTTGTTGCTTCAAAGTTGCAATTAGTTTTATTGTTATTAAGCTAATTGATATTATAACCTAGATATTTAAAGAATGAAAATTATTCAGAGTCATATATAGAGTGTTTATTTTTCTTTGCTTTCTTCCACTAACTGTTTAATTGTTCATTTCCATGCCAATTCAATGTGGTCTCACAATATTGTTTATTGTGTTTGGCTTGTATTGGATAAAGCTGTTGCTTAAAAGATCTATAGATTATATTATTATATCTAGCTGCTAATCCAATTTATTTTTTATTTAGAAGAACTATGCAAAAACTAGTCCTTGGATTGCTGTCCTATTTATTCTAATGAATTATTTCAATATAATATCTTTTGCTTGTCTTTATTAAGAAATGACCTGTAAAAAATATATTGTGTTTCTTCAGCTTACTCTAGTATTTTGATAAAAGCTCTCACTTATAATCTTTTGAATAGTTTGCTTTTTTATATAATTACTATTAAACTTTAATTTTTTATTTGCTTGAGATTGAAACCATGTATCCTTAATAACCAAATTATAACATATATAAGGTTTTTGCCATGTTTCAAGAATATGTATTTCATGTTGAAAAAAACTGGCTTTGTGGATCAATATATGTTCAGTAATGATTAAAGTCTATACTATTCATAGTATTATTGAGATTGATTCTGATTGTTCAATTGTTTAAATGCAAGAGCACTTGTTTATCTCACAAATTTATTATATTGTATTTCTAATTGTTATACAGTATGCTATTTGAAATTGTGTTTGTGAGGCTCAGCTTGTGTTTGTATATTATAGTTAGTGTGCTTGTAAGATAATTGCAGGTTTCTCTGGATAGTGTCATGGGCTAACCCAGTGAGTCTGTCACTAATCTGTAGCACCTCACATAATCCAGATAACTCACAAATACTTATAATCAATATAAAGAAGTGAATACCTTCTATAAATAACACTTAGAGAAGGCAGAGATATGATGATTGACTTGACTGAGAGTAGGAATCGAATTGAATCAAATTTTAGGTAAATTTGATCTGAATCCATTCAGATCAGGTTTTATTTGATCTGATTTATATCTGAATGAATTTATTATTATTTGATTCATATC